AGGAAGAGATAGAAGTGGAATTTAAAACGCTAATTTTTGAATTCATACGACATGATTTACAAGTAATGGCGTAAAAACGTGTTGCGAGGAAGCTATATTGATAAAATCAAGTTACATCAATGATTGTACAAGCAAGAAAGGGGGGAAAAGGAGCAGAAAATAGCGGAAATCCGCGCAGATCGCCTTTTCCATTTCGTTAATGTTCTCTCCAGTATTATCTAGTCCTGCGAGCGTCCTTTTCTCAGTTAGCGTTTGTCATTTAAGACCGGACTATGCGGCATGCACGCGTGAGAATGAAGTCACGAGAAAGAGGAAGCTCCCCCGCTCCTAAACCCCATGCCGTCCCCGGTGATTTCGTTAGCTATAAATAGGGACTTAAGATCGGTAACATTGCAGACGAACTCGCACTCGCTTTTCTCGCCAGTCGCGGAAAATGGCGAATTCACTTTTTTTTTCTCTCCCCATTTATCTTTTTTCTCATTCTCTCTCTTTCTCTTTCTCTCTCTCTCTCTCTCTCTCGAGGGGCACCGGGTGCGACTGGTGCGCGATTTAACACTAGAACCACCATTAAGTTTTATGCTTTATTGTATTATTTACGCATGTATGTGCATGTGTAGAAGTACGAGAATTTTGATGAAAATTTTGTACTTCCACACATCGGATTACTTCAATGTGGATTACAGTTTTGTGTTCTCGTCGATTCTAAGCAATCGATTCGTGTATGAGTCGAGGGATGAGGGATCTCTCTCAGGGACATGGCAATATGGTTCTAATGTTAAACGCTTGGCGTGCCCGCAATTATTCTTCATTAAAAATCACCCGTTAATTTGTTCAAAAGTAATTCGACGACTAGATTTTTTTTCCTTTCAGCGATATTCCTCGAGTATCTTCGCGCGGATTGGAAGCCAATTGATCAGAGTGGAGTCGCGCAACTCGATTTTAGCATTTCAGCGCGAGGCGTGGGCAGATGATTGTGTGTGAGCGAATGCTCGGGTATAACTGGGTCGATTGTATGGGCAAAATAATTGCGTGCGGATGAAGATGAGGCGAGAAGCGAAAAGGTATGCGGGGAAACGTGTCGCGATTCAAGCAATCTGTCATTGCACGCGTTCGAGGAGAAATTGCTCGGAGTAATCGGAATAAGCTCGGCATTTTTGTTTCTCTCTTCCTCTTTCTCGATGGCTCGCCTCACCCTTCTTGCCAAGGGCGGGCACTGAGACAACGGGAATAAGAAGAGCGAGATAGCACGAAAAGAGCGTTATGGCCTCAGTGCGAGAACGTCTAGACGGTGCGAAAAAGCGTAACGTAGTTTCTAATGTAAGATGAATGCGACGGACAGTATGACGAGAGAGAACATCGAGCCGGATAATGTCGAGGCGATTTAGCCTTCGTCCTTTCGCGATTCGTGAGTCTTCAACGTTCATGGTCTTCCCGACCGTTCCAAAGAGCATTTCCTCGTTCGAAATGAGAAAATTAATGATTTCTCAGTAAATACACAGAACGATATCTGATCTTCGGACGGATTTCTCGGAATCTCTTAAATCACCGGTCTCAACTGTGGTTTAACTGATTCCTCGTATCTTTCTGGTTCTAATTCGATTTATTTCCGAATGGAATCAGAATTGAGATTCACGTATACCAATTGTATAACAATATTTTTTTTTTTAATTTTATTTTGCATTTTCTTTCGATCGCGAGATCGGCGGAATTTATACTCGGAATCGAAATCGCGAAATTGAACGTGGACGTTCGCCCGAGGACAATGCGATTGCACACCGATCGACCAGCGAACGCGCGAAAGGACATGAAGGCGTGAATGGAACGCGAGTGCATGTGTATATGTGTATGTGGGCATACGTGCGTGTATGTGTATGCGTGTGCGCGCGCGCGTTTGTATACGCGCACGTGGGTGTGTCTCGCCAAGCGAAAGAAAAGAAGTTTTTATTAATAATAAGTCTATACGATCTGTATATGTCTTGTAAATATATATATACATATATATATACATATATATATCATGCATAGATATGTACATCTTGTGTGTTTATATATTCAGCACGTTTGCTGAGAAATCTCTTTGCAAAACGTGCTTAACCATCCCAATAATTCGACATCCTTTATCCTGTGTCTTCATTCTTACTTAAAGCATAAAATTCCAATATTAGAATAAAAGTCCGATAAAGTATCGTTAGGTTTTCAGGAAAAATAATTCTGTAAATGGATAAGTAAGGCATAATGATTTCGACTTTGAAGATCTGAATGCATTTTACATTAATGCTATTCTACTTAATTAAATTTATTTTTCCTTGAGAAAGAAATTGAGACGCTAATGAGAATACAGCACAATTATATAAGCGCTAATTGTGAAACTTTTATTACTTTAGAAGACATAGCTGTTAAACAAGTTGAATTTTATTGTAAAATTCCGAGATTCATTGTTTACCACGTTTTACAGTCGATAGATCAGAACAAAAATTCACTATCTGTATTCTCTACCATTGAATATTCCGTTTCGTTTCTTTTTTTTTTGGAGGAGGGGGAGGGAGGTCGATCTTGTCCGAGGAGTATCCTTCCGTAACTCGTCGTTGTCGACGTCGCCATCGCCAAGAAGCCGAGAGTTCGCTTCTGCTCTGTTTGCTTTGCAACCGATCGACAAGGCGATCATTACCGAGAGGTCCCAGATCGTCATTAGCGGGCAATTGAATGCATCGTGGCGCGGCGAGGGAAGCGAACGGATGTAAGCCCGTTAGGCCGACGGGCGCAATGCAGTTCTGCCGTAACGTTCATTGCAGCCGCCGAGTCTCTCAAGCTCGAGGGATAAAATCGAGAGATAGAGCGGTATTAGCTGTGCGAGGTGTTAACGGCAGGATTGTGATACGTCTCGCGCCACATGGACGTAATTAATTCTAGGTAATGCTAATGCGTACGTAACGATCTTGAAATGAATCGCCATTTTGCATCAAAGATATTTTGACAAAATAATATTTCGTTTTGTTGTTAGCCAAGTCGGAATAGATATACTGAGAGAAAAAAAAAGTATTCGTTTAACTAAGTAATTAATTTAGTCCGTCTTTATTTCTTTCAACGGAGAATGTATTTTCTTCAATGAAACAGAAAAAGAACTAAATTGATTTAGTCAAATAAACAATTTTTTTTCAACGTTAACTTCACGTGAAAGTAATCGACGCGAAACTAATTAGAAGATAAAGTCCAGCGATCGCATTATGCTCCCTTAATTGTTCTTTCATTATATTGCTCATCAACAACATTATTTCGCAGAAATTGATATAGTATTGATACAGTCAACATCTTATCTGCAATGAAGTATTATCTAACGATATTCCTCGGCCGATGGTTCGCAGGATCGCAGGTGCATCCTGCTTTCAAAATTATCGACCGGAGATCCCGCCGGGCAACGAATTCGTTAACGAAAGTCGAAAAACAGCCGGCCGGCGTCTGTTTCTCTCGTTCGTGACCGATTTGTGATGCCGCGCGTTAATCGAGAAGAAGTAGAAGAAGAAGGAAAACAGATAGACTATAAGGGAGGAAAAGGACGCGCGCGATGAGCCAAAAATAAGAAGAGAGCAAAGTGGCCGGCTGGTCCAGTGGTGTCATGTGACCGGAAGTGGCATTCCTTCCTCGCCTCCTCCCGCCACCACCGCTGTCTTCCACAAAGTCTCGAAGAGCCAGTACCAGGCCTCCCTTTTTCATCTCCCCTTCCTCCACACCTCGTCCTCTTTCTCCACCCCCTCCTCCTTCTTCTCCTCTTCGACCCTCGTCCTCGTCCAGTGTTGTTACTTATCCCTTCCTCCACGGTCGAACGAACGTAGCGACAACGGAAGATTGTCCTCTCTTAGCGACTCGTTAAGCATGTCAAAAGACATCGGAGCATCACGAGGGACGTCGACAATGGATTTCCGCGTTTAAAGCGTGATGTCGGGATACTGTGAAAATCATACGGGCGGATTCCTTCCCCTTTTCCCTCTCCTCCTACACGTCCCAATTGACGAGCTCGGATAAAACGTGGGAGTCATCGCGCGATTGTCAATAAATCTGTTCTTTCTAGTCGCCCTATATACATAATATACCACACACATTTTCCGCGTATGGAAAGAGAGATCTATGGCCGGTATTCATAATCAGTCTTTATTCCAAGACCTTAAATAATGTCTTAAACGGCTTTGTAATTGGTTCGTGCTATCTTAAGATCACTTAAGATGATCTAAAAAAATATAAGAACCGATTATGAATACCGACCTATGTATGTTTGGACGTTGAGGAAGGAAAAAAAAGCGAAAGAGAGAAGTTATTATAAAAACGTGATTTACATGAAACACGTTTTAAGCCTTGAAAAAAAATGTTATATTTGTTTTATGTAGCTTTATTTTTTGCCTTTTCTGCATTCAAATCGAAA